TTCCTGACCTCAACGGATCGAGTGACCCGGCGAAGACCGCCTGCCTCAATTCCCCCACAAATGATTTTGTCTTGGGCGACGAAACCCTTGAACCGTCCGCTAGTCCACCGCCCGATTGCGGAAATGGATGGTGGAATTTCACCACGTCCCAATGTGAGTTTGACGGGATACCGGCAGGAATTGAGTGGCCAGAAGTAATGATTTATTTTGAATGCTCATATTGTTCCTGTACATCCGTTCGATTCATTTGTTCATTGTCGTTCTCTTAGGTGATTATTGGGTCCCTCCCACTCTGGCACCCACCAAAATTTGTCCCGTGTGTGACGACTGCTCAACAGCGGAAGTTGCTTCCCAAGGAACAAGCACTGCCGCCTTGATTATGGCGATGTTCTTCGGAGCTGCCGCCGCCCACGGTTGTGGAATACTTAAAAAATCAATTGTTCAAAATAGGAAAAGAATTGGATACTCCCCCGTTCCAAACGACACAAACCAGGTGTGAGAAACGAACGAGCTATCCTACAAATCCATTTGTTTTAAAGGAAAGAAGTAAAGTTATTAACTACTGTTATATGCTAGTAGAATGACTAGTAGTAGTAGTAGCAAAATAATAATCCAACACGAAAGAAACCCGGCCATCCCCAACTTGATTAATTCTTTCAATTTCAATGGAAATAACTAGAATAACAGTAAATTACTCAAATGGTATATGTAGATCTTTTCGTCCGTAGAAAATAAGGAAAAGAAATCCGTCATAGTATAGTGGCTAGTATCCCCGCCTGTCACGCGGGAGACCGGGGTTCGATTCCCCGTGACGGAAACTTTTGTACGGGGAAATATTTTGTTTCTCGTTGTTTCAAAGTGCGGAAACACATGCCAACCCGCTTTCATTTGCTATTATTTGAAAATGAAAAAAGAAAAAAGCTTTATTTTTGAAGGCTCGAGAGAAGTGATATAGTTTGGAGTGTCATGGTGCAATATAAAATTGAAAATCTGCCTCCCTTATAACGAGATTAAGCATTTTTAGCAATGATGTCATCATCATCATGCCATTTTCCATTGGTGTCTGACTACTACTATCCTCACCATGTCTGATAAAGAAGGAGCCATCTACTAGTACTACTAGTAGTAGCTGCCAAAAAAAGCGCTATTCATGATATTAGTTTGGATTGTCATTTTCCAGTACTGACTTGCTGTCAAGAAGTAGCTTACTGGCTGTATCAAAACAATGAGGCACATTAAATTTGGGTTGTCAACAAGAAAATACCACTTCTTCTTTGTTTGTTGTAGTATTACTAATGTCTTTATTTTCTTGTCTCTATTCTTAGACAGATGACGCACAAGTAGCAAAAATTCAATCCTAATACTATGAATGAAAAAAAATGTTTTTCCTTCATACTACTAGAACAGCTACTTCTTCTACTACTTGTAGTACTAGTAGAAAAATTAAATATTATTATCTTACAGTTGCTGCTGGCTACCAAATCTATCCACCAGCAGTTGTAGCTTTTGGGCCCATATTTTTTGTGTAATGCCTAGTACTTTGACTAAAAACTGCCTTGTGCTGCACTTTACAGCCAGGCATTTGCTGCACTTTTTCTTCTTGTGCACATGTGATCCAACTGGTGCTGATTCTTTGCTTCAACACATACTAGTAGTACCACTACTATGAGGAGACAAATTTCTGATCCCACAAATCATTACATAGTAAAAAGATGGCCCAAAATACGCACACAGGACAAAATACACATAGAGCATTAAGTAAGGGTCAACTCACTTGAACAGCTATATCTTGGTCCCCAATGGACAGATCATCAGGGCATGGGGGAGATAGTACTAGTAGTAGAAGCTATGTGACATACAAGAAGAGGAAGCTACTAGTACTACTGGCTAATATTGGCACTAGTACTAGTACTAGTACTAGTAGTACTCATAGCAATCACAAAATACAAAATAGTACGTTCACTGTACTACTAGTAGTATCATGTACAGCATATTGTTACTATCAGTATGATTTCCAATGCCCAAACCTCTTTTTTCTTCTTGTTGTTGTCATAACATTCAAAGTCAAAATTTATTTTTGTATGACTAAGTGCATATTGCTTTGTTCTTTGGCTCAACTTAGTTACTAGTAAACAGCAATAGTCACCATCACACATCAAAGCTTTGGAATTCACTTATCAATAGTAGAAGATAATGGGAAATGCCTCTGTTGACAAACTACTACTACTAATGAACAACAGCACTGTTTTTCAATGATTACAAAAATGAAAAAATGAAGAATGTTTTTTGGTAGGAGTTGTGAATCTCTGTTGCTAGTTTTTTGTTGGTTACTAGCACAAGTAGTAGTAGTAGTAGTAGCTAGTAGATCTTTTGATCCTGTTCCCTTGTTCATGCTGGTTGTCACCACATTTTTATATCCATTTGAAAATTGCAGTTTACTGTAACAAAAAAAATTTTATGACAGTTATTTCTTCCTTTGTCCTTGAAAAACTTCCTAGTACTAGTACTAATACTACTACTAGTTCTAATACTAGATAATATTGCTGGAGTAGTCTGCACTATACTAATCCTTTACTTTTAAAGAATAGTGATAAGGAATAACAAACCATAATTAATTGGTCATTTGTAATTCTTGTTGTCCAAGAAGATTTAGCCAATTTTTACCAAAATATCAGGCATGCTACAACAAGTCCCTCTCTCTGTTCATGTGTTGCTTAAAAATAAAATGTTTTTACATGCTAGTATACCATTTTCTTCTCTTCAAGTGCCAAAAAGTCAAGGTAAAATGTCCAACTCCTCCTCTTAGTGTCTACACCACATGAAGAATGCACCAGAAAGACCTGCTCTTTCAACAGAAGATGTATTAGTAGTACTGCTATGCCTGGTGACAACTATTTCTAATACAAGAAGTTTGTACCTCAAAATCTTGTTTGCTCTATGGAATAGTGCTGATGCATTGGCGTAGGACTCACAGCAGATCCCTACTACCAATAAGAGCTAGTACTAGTAGTACTACCGCTTTGTTGCCATTAAGTACTACTACTACCAATTGCTTGTTAGCTTACTAGTAGGCACCACCCTCAAATCAGTGCTATCTGTAATTTCCCTCACTAGCAGTATTATCACCACTCCAAACCATCAAAGTAATAGAACAAATATAGGGTATGGATTTTTTGTGTATTGGATATTCCTACATTGTAATTTCTTTTGAAGTCAAGCACTGCTGAAAACTTTCACAATATAGTACTAGTATGCAGGAAATCAGAGTACTATGCAGTAGCACCAGTGCATTCAATTAATTGTTGTTGGTACTAATGGTACTAGTACTTCTAGTAGTGTGCTATTTTTCAAATTTTTCCCACAGCACCAGCATGCTGTTCTGAGTGGTACTACTAGTATTCATTGCACTGCTACTACTAGTAGTACCAACAAGTATTTTTAGAAGTTTCATTACTAGGCACACTACTAAAGACAGAACTCACAACATAATTGTCCAGCACTTACTATCATTACCATGAGCAGGTGGTGATTTGAAATATGAATCAGATAGTTCTTAGTAGTGATGACCATTAAACAGGATCAAAATTTTAGTAACGAAAATTCAGAGGAGATATCAATGAATCCTTTGTACTATGTTCTTTTGCACTAGTAGTAGTAGTAGTAGTATAGTAATTAGCATCAGTGACTATTTCTGGGATTTGCCAACTTTTGAGCAACAAGAGCATGAACTTCTTTGGGCAAAAAATAGTGACCAAAACCACCACCAGCACAAACTTTGGCTAAGAAAGAATGAAGGAAGTCTACCACATGTAGGAGAGCAATCAGAAGAAGGAGAAATGTTAATCTCCTGAATTGTCTCACAATACTCCTTCTCCTTTCTTTAGTAGTACAACCATGACTGCAACCACCACCACTATTTGTACTACTAGTAGTCCTCCTATGTGTACTACTAGTAATATTCCTCCGCTGCAGTCACTAGCTACTCTACTAAGATCATGAAGGAGGAAGAATGAACAAAGCAGGAGCAGCAAACTTAGATATGAAAAATGATGCTACCACCACTAGTAGAAGCATTACTTTCTACAGAATATCATTTCACTAATATGAACTCTACTACTAGCTGCCCCCTTCTGTTGTTGAGGAGTGCAAAGAGGAGCAGGAACTCCTTTCATGTGCTGGTGTTCTTGAACAGTTCAAAGAAGTATCCCCATATTTCTAGTAATTTTCCACCAATATACTATTTCTTGAATTATGCATTGTAATTGTGATCCCTTTGTGAGCCTCTGATGCGTTTGCATAGTTGAAAAGTTCAAAGTATCAATATTTCTAGACTTTTTGAATTCATTTACTGTTTGATTGTAGTGTGTAATCTGACCCTTTCACAGAGTGGATTGTAGTCTGTAATCTGACACCATCCCGTGAAGCGGGGGTTTGGCGCAGTTTCGATTCCGGCAATCTCCAACTTCTTTTTGCTCATGGGAGTCGAAATCCGATCCGGCCCTGTTTTTCTCGGGAGAAGATCCTTTTGAGGGATGATTCGATTCTTTTCGATCAGTTCGAGATAAAAACAAAAACAGAGAGCGAGAACACGGCAACCATTGTGACTTCGTTCCGCCCAGAGTTGTTTCCAAGTCAGACAACTCTTGTTTTCACTCCGTCGCCTCCGACCAACACACCGCAGGATCCGGAAACAGGCAATCGAACGAACCAAGCACCCCAGAGGCACCAAACAAGCACACCACAGAAATGGCACCCCCCGGATCGGCCCACCTCAACTTCACCCTCGGCGGGCTCTGCGCCATCGGTGGCGTTGTGGGGTACGCCAAGAAGAAAAGCACGCCCTCGCTCGCGGCCGGCCTGGCCTTTGGCGGGTTGCTCGTCGGGAGCGGCGTCCTGATCTCCAGGAACGAGGCCTTCGAGGGGCACGCCCTCGCCTCGGGAACGACGGGGGCCATGGTCCTCGCCACTGGGAGGCGGTTCGCCTCGACCGGAAGGTTCGTGCCGGCGGGGATGGTCGCCGCCCTCGGAGCCGTTGGATTCGCCTACAACGTTAAGAAAACGCTGGAGTGGATGCCCGACAAGTCCGGCTGACGAACGAACGAACGAACGAACGAACGAACGAACGAACGAACCGGTGGAGGGAGGAGAAACGGGAGCGGAGAGGAATCCGGAGCCCAAGGATTTCGCTGGTATTGTGTTGTGTTSTGTTSTGGCGACGAGTTTCCGAGCTGACTTCTGTCTTTTGCATCCGAAGGTGTCGACGAAGYCGAGACGAATCTCGTGTCCGAAACGACGGGAGCATGGATCTGATCTGATCTGATCTGATCTTGTCGCGTTTCGGTTGCACATCGCAACTCGCGTGCCGTACGGTACAGTACTACGAGAGGAATGGATCAAACGTCGATCGTTTTACTAGASTTTTGGTTTCGACTACTGTACATTCGTAGCCTTGATCTGCAATTTAGACTACGTCCCGTACGATAGAGTGGTTCGAATAGCCAGGGGCGTTTCCCCGATCTTTTGGTTCGAACCGGACGGRCGGGCGGGCATCGGAACGAGAGCAACCCCTGCACGCCGCACCAGCGAACAACACGGGGTTCTCGTCGTCCCGGAAGCCTTTGTGGTTCTCCCTGGAGYGCCGCGGCCTTTCACCGCCGCGGCCCCCCCGGCTCCGCCGCCGCTCCGGGCCGCACGCCGCAGAGCTCGTGGAGCCTCGACTCGGCCCGCCGGAAGGAAAAGACGACCTCCCGGACGGAGGACAGCTGGGCCAGGGAYACCCCGATGCGGCCCGTGGCGCTCCACTCGACGTCGACGTCGACGCCGACGCCCCCGGCGGTCCCCCCCGCCCTGACCGTCGTGGTCGCGGCCGAGCTCGAGCTCCCCCCCTCCCCRACCACCGCGAGCTCCTCCTCGAAGGGTTCGCCTCCGAGGGCGGTTTCCTCGTCCCCGTCGCTCGTTTCCACGCCCGCGTCGAACTCGACAAAGAGCTCGCCCAGCGGAACGGAAGCGGTCAGGACCATCCGGACCCTCGATTCGTAGCAGGCATCGACCAGGGTCACGAAGCGGCGGGCCTCGTTGTACYGGGAGGCGTCCAGGACCGGAACCCCCTCGACGACGAGGACCCCGAAGCGCTCGGCCAGGGCCAGGTAATCGGAGGCCCCGAGGGGCCCGCCGCACAGGTCGTCGAAGGAAAAGCGTCCGCAGTCCCCGTACCGGGTGGAGGTCGCCTCCGCGGCGATGGTCCGGCCCATCCGGACCGGGAGGACCTCCCTGGTGCCTCTTGTGTCGCCGAGAATCGATGCCAGGGCCGATTGCGTGCCCGGGTCCTCGATCGGCCAGAAATACGTCGGGCCCGCCGCGGAGGACAAGGACGAACCGCCGTCCGTCGCGGTCTCGCCGATGGGTCCGGAGCGATCCCGGTCCTTGCGATAGTCGTGGTTGGACCGCATCTCCACCACCTCGCAGTGGTCGCAGAGCGTATCCACAAAGGGCAGAAAGCGGGCCCGGTTGAGGCCGCCCTCGTAGAGCCTGGAGGGGGGCCGGTTGGAGGTCGCCACCACCACCACCCCCCGGTCCAGGAGCTCCTCGAACAAGCGCTTGAGGACCATGGCATCGGCAATGTCGGTGACCTGGAACTCGTCGAAGCAGAGAAGCCTGGATTCCTCCGCGATGCCTCTCGCGACCTCCGGAAGGGCATCGACCGAGGGGTCTTCCTTCTTGGCGGAGTGGAGCCGCTGGTGGACGTCCAGCATGAACTCGTGGAAGTGGACCCGCCTGGACGCAATCTTGGTCGTTCCCCCGCCCGTGTCGTCGCAGCCGGCACCGGAAGGCTCCCCCCCGCGGTCCACGACCCGGTCGTGGAAGAGGTCCATCAGAAAGGACTTCCCGACCCCGACCGGGCCGTGGAGGTAGACCCCCCGGACGGGCGGGCCGAGGCAGCGGCGGGAAATCCACCGGAGCACCCCGCGGGCGACCGAGCGGGCGGAACCGGCGAGGCCGCCAAGGGCCCCCGCCAGGATTTTGTGGGCGGTGCCGCGGTGCTCCATCGTCGTCGTTGCCGTTGTTCTTGCCGATGCTGCCGCCCTTCGCGACGCCACCGCCCGGTGCTTCGGGTGCCGGCGGCTCATGGCGAAGGTGCGGTGGCGGTCGTCCCACGCCGGGACACCCAGAGCGGCCCACCCGGAGGTGTTCTCGTCGCGTTTGCCTCCGATGCGGTTGCCGCAGACCGACAGCAGGCGGCGGACCGCGGCGGACGCCGGCCCGGGGGTTCCGCCGGCAAAGAGGTCCCCGAAGAGGCGATCGAGCCGCCCGGCGGCCCCCGCCTGGACCGCGTCGCTCYGGATGCGCCCTTCCGCGATCTCCCGCTCGAGCGCRGCTCCCACGGGGMCCGTTCCCGCCGGAGCCGCTCGCGGAATTTGTGGGCTCGCATTCCGGGCCGCCGCTCCCTTGCGGTCGGTTCCCGCCTCGCCCGCAGCGGCCGGAGGGTTTCGCTCCCACCGAGTGTTCCGAACGGTGTTGTCGCTGCTGCTGCTGCTGCTGGAGCGTGCGGTCGTCCTGCGCGGGTCTGTCCGCCCCGAAAGCGCGCTTGCGTTTGTTCGTTTCAGTGGCGCGGAGCGTCCCGGCGATGCGAGTCCGTTGTGGTAGCATCGATGCCACGAAACAAACGCGGTGCAACTGTCATGGTGGTCACGTCTTTTCGCAAAAGAATGCCACCGGGGATCCCGGTCTTGTTGTCGATGATAGTGATGATAGTGTTGTTGTTGTTGTTGTTGTTGATGATGATGATGATGATGGTTGTGATCTTGTCGTCGTCGTCCTTGTCCTCTTTTCGGTCCTACTCGGACGCATCGCAAGCTGCGCAGGTTCGTGCCGATGCTGCGACGGGCAATCATGGGTTCGACTGCCCGAAAGCGGGTTGTTTCCCGTGCGTTGCAGACCGGGAGAGCGAAAGAACCGAGTGGCAACCAAAAACTGTCGGGMAAGCCGATGCGGCAATGGTGAACCGTTTTGACGAGAATAAAAATCTGCGGCGTTGGTTTTGTCCGCATCGAAACGAAGAAAAATGATGAACTCTGGATCTATTGTAACGTACGGTACGGTACTAGAGCGACGAGTAACGAGTACGTACGGTACTTTACCATACTCCACCTGCTCGCTCATCCTTGTGAGGGATGGAAAGTGTTACTCTTACGAATGTACGTGTACGAGTACTACGTACGTAGCGTACCCTTACAGCTCACCTTGCAACCGACCTTAAAGCGACTCACTCAMTCACGGGCTCTGCCTATGCATTATCGTATCAACGATGTGTACGTACTGTATCATAGGTATGTCAAGGTTTTCACGGTTGACAGCAAGAACACATTTGCATCGAGAGAGACGAGGGACAAGACGACGCGATTGTGATGCACGTCCTCCTGCCTGCGATTCCGGTTCCGGTTTGTCCTGCGTTTCGAGTTTTGATTCCTCGTACCAGTACTCGTACCTCTACTCGTAGAGAGTCGTATAGTATGGAGGGTGCGTACGAGTTACGGCAGCAGACATGACATGTATTTATTTCCATTCTCGTCCATTCCACGAAACCAAACGGAAGCAGCAACACCCCCGCCACTGTCAACAACAAGAGYAAATATTGACACCAACACGTTCCGTTCCAGCTAATTCCACACTAWCGCAGTTTCTACGGTACCTGGAAGGTTTTCGTCCGGAACAAGCCAGAGACGACACTCCTTTGCCCGGCGTCCCGTCCCGTCCCAGCTGTCCAGATCCGAATCCGGATCCGATCTCCAACAAACACACCCACACAGCTACACACCCACACGCATTCCCGGTCCCGATCCCGCCCAAAAMATGAGCAGCAGCGGCGGAGGCAAGCCCCCGGCCGCCATGTCGTCCCAGATGCAGGCCGTGATGCGGGTCATGACGGGCCAGGCGGAACGGACGATCGCCGAGAAACTGGCGGATTCGAACCGGCCCACCTGGGAACAGTACAAGAAGGACAACCACGACAAGCTCCACCTCGAGGGGGTCGACCAGAAGGAGATGGAGGAGTACCGGAAGCAGCTCGACAGGGACCGGGATTCCAAGCTGCTGAGGGGGACGAACCACCGGGGGGACCGCGAGCGCGAGCGCAAGAAGGCCGAMAARAAGAAAAAGAAGAAGGAAAAGAAGCGCAAGAGGTCCTCCCGAAAAAAAAAGAGCAGCCGCTACTATTCCTCGTCGTCCTCGTACTCGTCCTCGGACGGGGAGSACTCGTCCCGCACCAGTGGMAACGAGGAAGGGGAATCCCAYCGSAGGGACAGAGACARGGACAGAGACAGGAMCGGGGACGGCGAGGAGGACGGCAGAGACCGGGACCGAAAGCGCCGGCACAAGCGCAGCAGGCGCAGGCACCGCCGCGACTCGGACGACGATTCCGACGGCGACAGCGACGGCGGGAGGCGGAAGCGAAAAAAGGCCAAGAAAAAGAAGGCCAGGCGCAAGAAGGACCGGAGCAGCGACGACAACGACGACGGGAACGACAGCGAGGGGAGCCACTACCGTCTCTCGAAATTCTTTGACGACGRCGACGACGAGTAAGACCGGGATGGAAACCGAACGGGCGCACCTTCTGTGTACAAGCATGGTGCATGGATTCGATCCGATCCGATGCGACGCAACGCGACGCGACCGCAACGTGGAAGGGTTCCTAAAAGTGGAAGCGAGCGAACGATTGGCCGAACCAAGCCGGGGGCGCAGGGCCAACCGACCGTGGGAAATCCGACAGGCGTGGTGGGTTCCGGCGCCGGCGACAAAGAATGCCGGCGGTTGGGGGTTCGGAAACGAGCCACGATCGGACTGCCCCGCCACGCAAACCACCCTACCGGATCGCAATATCCAACCCAATCCACCGAGAAACGATTGCGGGTGGTGTTCCTACCTTCCTAACTACTAGTAGACGTGTCAGATTACTACTAAATAGATTCAAACCACACCATGAACCATCCGGAAGGTTTTGTTCAGAGAAGAGAGCTCTCAGTTCGATACMGACAACGGCGGAAGGGCATGCGCCCGGACTTTTTCAACGAGCACAACGAAGGCAGTTGCAGTGGCAGCACTAAGCAACTCTGCTAGTAGAAAATTTTAGAACGAATGTTGCAGCGAAAAAACAAGCGGTTTGAACACTAGCGTTCGTCCTTGTACACTGCACACCTACACAAGGCACAAATTGGGTTTCCTGCTAGACAACGTGTGTATGTGTGTATTGTATTGTAATAAAATCTTTGATACGTTGTGTCGGGGGATGCTGTTTTCCGTCTCGCAATGGCTCCGTTCACCGCCCCTTGGTGCGCTCGTTGCTCTTGACCATGTACTCGGCCTTCTTGTACGGACCGTTCTCCTCCTCCCAGGCGTCGCACTCGTCGCTGAATTCGTTCATTTCGCACGGGCTGATCGCTCCGTATTGCTGGCCACCCGGGAAACTGACCACCCGCAGGCTGGCAAAGTTCAGCGGGGCGATTCCTTCTTCGAAGGGACTCATGTCCTGTTTGGTTCGTTTGCGTTGCGTTGTGTTGTGCGTTGCGTTTTGCGGTTTTGTTCGGATGCAATGCAACGCAATCCGGCACAAMCACGAGGCACAGAACGCACGATAGAGAGATAACAAGACACGCAGGAGTTAGTTACAAACGACGTTATGCAGTAAATACACAAATCGTTACCGGAACCATCCCTGCGTTGATTTCCGYGTGATTTCTTCTCTAAAATTCCATCTCATCGATCACCGGCGAAAAAAAACCATGGAAAGACGATAGTCCTTCACAAACGCACCATTTCCCTTGGAACGGCAGCAATGAACTCGAATTGGGTTTTCTTTTCGGTGGTTTCAATCTTCGGAATGATAGCAAACTGACCCGCATCGGTACTGAGATCGGGGTTGTTGGCCAGAACCGATTCCCCGGTGCCCTTGTCCGTAATGTATCCGTAGACGCCGACCTTGTCSAGGGCACGGTCCGGAGACTCCTCCAGGTCCACGTTGACCGTTACGCACAACCCACGCATACCCTTCATGGCCTTTTCTCCGGGGATGGGCTTGTCCTTCGGACAGGGAATGGCTGTGTATGTGGGGTTGAGGAGGTTGATCTTGACGGGTCCAATGGCGTTGGCCGGTTCCGGTCGCAGCGATTGCCCGTCTCCCCCGCTGTTGAGCACTCCAGCCACCGAAGCGGCAGTGAGCGCACCGGAGACCGCCTTGGAAAAAGCGCCCCGTCTAGAAATTTCGTTGCCGTGGTTTTCGTCGTTGCCGATAGCCTTCAGCGGAGCGGTCTTGCTGCTTTGGTACGCGACGGGYTGCTGGAAGGCAGCCACATTCGTGCTGGTTGCCCCAAGGAACAGAAACAAGGCCGCAGATCCTGTCTTCATTGTCGTATTTTCAGTGGATGGGAAAGGGGATATGTTCGTCTACAATCTTKCGGTTATYGTTGGGTGAAATTAGCTTTCCTTGRTAGGATGCAAACCGTGSTAGACGCGAAKCAACTGATTTTAACGTACTGATAGAACGAAGTAAGCAAGATTTGCTCATTGATGTCACAAAGACAGCGCAGTCTTGAACCCTGGCAGATTTCGTTTGTTTCGGGACAATTCAACAATCAATCCTTGTCGATGCTTCAGTTCATTGACGTCAGTAGAAAACGCTAAGGAAGTACATCATGTTCAGGCCTTACNTGGTTGCCCCAAGGAACAGAAACAAGGCCGCAGATCCTGTCTTCATTGTCGTATTTTCAGTGGATGGGAAAGGGGATATGTTCGTCTACAATCTTTCGGTTATTGTTGGGTGAAATTAGCTTTCCTTGGTAGGATGCAAACCGTGCTAGACGCGAATCAACTGATTTTAACGTACTGATAGAACGAAGTAAGCAAGATTTGCTCATTGATGTCACAAAGACAGCGCAGTCTTGAACCCTGGCAGATTTCGTTTGTTTCGGGACAATTCAACAATCAATCCTTGTCGATGCTTCAGTTCATTGACGTCAGTAGAAAACGCTAAGGAAGTACATCATGTTCAGGCCTTACAGTGCACTATCGAATTACTGTATTGTACGGTTGGCAATGATGAATCGAAAACCAATCAAAAATTTCAGTCTTAACGGCCACGGGTCGTGTGCGTGTGATACGCAGTACTCGTAATAATACGCTTTTACTGTACTGTACCGTACAATTATTGCTATCAACATACCTACCGTATGATAGGTACGTTAAGTACATGCCATCTGAATGACTTGCTTTTTGCTTTAAAATACGAAAGAGTTCTTTTTTCTCATGTCTGCTCATGTCCTGATGATTGTTAAATAAACAATTGTACAGTAGCACATGTTGATCGTATGGATAACGATACGATGGTCCCTTTCAAATTCACTTCTCAGCGAATTAGATCCAACTTGATACGTTTGACGTTTTCCTCGCTGTATCTAGCGAATCACAATAGTCAATAACCGAAGGTGGCAAAAGGTTCCGCTAACATGAACCATCGGACTATTTTCAGGCAACAGTGTTCCCGTTTTCTACCAGCGAATCTTAGCTTGCCTTCAAGACGAAGGGTACGCTCTGTTCGGCTCGATGTTCCATCAAGGTTTTCCTCACGCCAATTTTCGTCGCTGGTATCCTGGGACGTCGAAGAAAGCAGCGAGAAAAAAACTATTGGAATCGTCACACTAAGATCTCCCGAGACGTACAACTCCTTGTCGGAAGAAATGGCAGACGAATTTCGAGACTTGATGTTCCAATTGGAAGACGAGCTCTCGGATACGGAAGGCAACAGCATCAGCAAGAACGTCGGTGCTATAGTCTTGCGTGGAGAAGGGGACAAAGCCTTTTCAGCGGGCGGAAATCTCAAGTTCCTCCAATCAAAAAAGGAGAATTCCGTTCACGCTAATGTCGATGGAATGCTCCGATTCTATAAGAGTTTCTTGTGCGTACGGGAAAAAATNGTTAAGTGGTCGCACAAAAACTACGCGCATGGGGGTGCGACCAAACCCCGTGATCACTTTTTGTGACGTAGTAGTAGTATGGGGGGTACTACTACTAGGACTCACTATTAGTAATAAATATCCCTCATTGTCACTAGAAACCAAGCTGTATATAGCACTAGTTGTACTAGTACTAGTAATACTCCTGCTACTAGCACTGCTAGCACTAGCACTAGTAATACTACTACTACTACTTGGGGGGGCTCCTAGTAGTAGTAGTACTACTACTACTACTAGTAGGACCTCCTACTTATACCAGTAGTTTCAGTATAAAAATTGTATGTCCCAACTACCCACTGAACCCAACATGTTCATTAGAATGTTAAGATGAATTCTACAAAAAACTAGGTCTTTCTTGCATGCTTAGATCCTTTTTTACACCACAATTAAGTTTGCACTGTAGATTGTGCAGTTTTTTACATGCATTTTACACATAAGGGACTAAATTTGTACTTAATTGCAAATTTGCAGTTTCGTCGCCGCGTAGATTACTTGCTTTTTGCTTTAAAATAAAATACGAAAGAGTTCTTTTTGCTCATGTCTGCCCGTGTCGGGATGATTGTGAAATACAGTGAACAATTGTACAGTAGCACATGTTGGTCGTATGGATAACGATACGATGGTCCCTTTCAAATTCACTTTTCAGCGAATTAGATCCAACTTGATACGTTTGACGTTTTCCTCGCTGTATTTAGCGAATCACAATAGTCAATAACCGAAGGTGGCAAAAGGTTCCGCTAACATGAACCATCGGACGATTTTCAGGCAACAGTGTTCCCGTTTTCTACCAGCGAATCTTAGCTTCCCTTCAAGACGAAAGGTACGCTCTGTTCGGCTCGATGTTCCATCAAGGTTTTCCTCACGCCAATTTTCGTCGCTAGTATCCTGGGACGTCGAAGAAAGCAGCGACAAAAAAACTATTGGAATCATCACACTAAGATCTCCCGAGACGTACAACTCCTTGTCGGAAGAAATGGCAGACGAATTTCGGGACTTGATGTTCCAATTGGAAGACGACCTCTCGGATACGGAAGGAAACAGCATCAACAAGAACGTCGGTGCTATAGTATTGCGTGGAGAAGGAGACAAAGCCTTTTCAGCGGGCGGAAATCTAAAGTTCCTCCAATCAAAAAAGGAGAATTCCGTTCACGCTAATGTCGATGGAATGCTCCGATTCTATAAGAGTTTCTTGTGCGTACGGGAAAAAATACCAGTTCCCGTRATTGGYGCTCTCCACGGACCTGCGGTGGGAGCAGGGGCCTGTCTGGCGCTAGCCTGTGAKATGAGGGTAGTAGCCTCTGGAGATCGACCTATTCTGGGCTTTCCGTTTTCTAAGCTCGGAATTCCTACTGGAATGGGCGCYCTGCACCTTTTGCAAAACTCAAGCAAGTTGAGCAACACCCARGCAGGAGAAATCTTGTTTCTGGGGAAGACTCTTACAGGAGAAGAGGCYTTGGACTGTGGKCTAGCCAATCGATTGGTTCCAAAAGAAAGGGTCAAGGAAGAAGCCAAACAACTGGCACTGGAAATTGCTCGGACTGGCCACCCTGTTGCGATTCGGTCTATGGYACGAAGCATGCGACTGGCAACCGACCATGGTAGCGGGAGCCTTGCCGATTGCATGTATAGAGATGCCCACGCCCAGGCCATGTGCTACAACCGTGAGGATTGGGGAGAAGGCCTGCGCGCCGCAAAAACCAAGAGAGACCCCAGCTTCGATGATTACCATTCCAAATGACATTACGTGATGGATGATGTGTGATGTGGTAGCAATGCAGGAGCAAGAATGCCAAAAGAGTTTTGGAGGTCACCGTTTCTGTGTATGCAACAAGAGAAGGAAAATAGGATTCTTGGACGAAACAGGCACTTTCTTAAAAACCCAACAGGCAGTCGACGTTGGCGACAATGATAAAGCATCGACGGAAATCATCATCAAGACCATTGATATCGTTCTGTGATCATTCAGCACATCGTAGTCGCCCGTCACCCCTAATTTTATCGGAGTTATTATTACTAAATTTTTGGAAAGACTTCAGTTTTTCAAAAAGAGGATGATACGCCTGCGTCCAAATCTTTTTCGTAAAATCTTCACAGCTCATCGGTTATAAAAATGGGTTCCATTTCGCTTCTCTTTCTCGATACTTTCCGCTAATCTTCCATATTGATAGGATAGTTCTTTTCACAGCATGTGTTATGCTTCCTCTCATGACGGTTCGTCTTTCTCAAAACCTACTTTTCTTTCTCTAGAACACGGAGCAAAACATCTGTTCCAGGAAACGTTATTTTTGTCAAAATCTTCCGACTGAGAACAATGTATTTGAGACTATAGAGAAACTGGAACAAAAAACTCCTTAGCGCTCTATAACGATATTCGTTTTGTACCTTTCTCATTGTAACAAAATAACCTACCGCGAAGTACTCCATTTTGTAATCTCTTATTTTTTTTCACGAGGCAAAGAGGAAACTAAATTGGAAATAGGAAAAAAATAATCTTCGATAGTAATCTTTTTCAAAGATGGCTTCATGTTTTTAGAAATCATTATCCTTAATTACCTCCCTCTACTTAGTCGTACAAGCTTATTATTTCTTCCATACGAGAACCGCATGACAGAGAAAAATGAGAAAAAATCCTTACGACCCTCATTCATCCCATAATGAATAAATTATGTAACCATTGCGTACCGGCCGGTAGGTTCTTTTTTTGCAAGCAATCGAACTCCATAGTTAGTTTGTTGTAGCTTTTAGTAGTATACAATTCGGATAAAATTGTTCTGCGGGACCAAAACTCTCTTAAGATACACGACCAGTATTTTCTCGTTCCATAGAACTTACAGAATAGGTATTCTTTGTTCTCTGCATGTCATCAAAATCGATTTTTCGCGCGACGGCAGGATGATATCGCTAACATTTGGTTCTGATCGGTTCGGTTGGTTTACCGTAGCAATAAATGGCTGTCTTCTTTGTTCTTCCTATGACAGATGATCTAGTTGCTTAATGAACTATTTTTCSATGAAGCATAAGACTTTCGTTTTGGAGAATTAAGAACCATCGAAGATGCTTTCTATTCTTGAGGAAGCAGACGAGTAAACGAATAACAGGAAAGGCGGGTCATCTCCGACAAAGGTAGAACCTACCGGCTGGACATTATTGTTCTATCGTGCAAAGCCTCGGACGTTTAGCAAATCAAGGTCTCTCACAATGACAGAGCTGMGGGTTCCATATAGAAACAGCCTAGAGGAGTCAATTACTGCACTTCGGAAGAAAGAGTCAATCTCTTCACTGACGTTCAAATTCGAAGACGACGAATTTGATAGGTCACGCGAGCTACAAAATGCGATCCTAGCCAACAAGACTTCTGGGAAGGTAGAGTGCTTGAAGATAAGGAACTTTTGYATCGACCAAAAGACGCACAATCAGTGTTTTGACTTTTAYCTCCGTTGTCTCGAGGGACCTCAAAACGAGACCAAGATATTCTTCTATTGTGGTTTCTTTCCTTTGWCACTTACAGAATCCAAAAGGTTTGCTGATGCCATCTCATCCAATGGGAACATAACGGCGCTGTCGTTGATGGGAGGCAAGCAAGGGCTCTTTCGAGAAGAAGGAACCTTTGAATGTTTCTTTGACGCTGTTCTGAACAAAGGAGCCGTCAAGGGTCTACAATTGACACTTYTATCGTTCAACGAAATTGTAAAACGTGGAAGCAGTTCTAAATTGGCAATGAATACAACACTCAAGGAGTTGGAATTGAACATCATCCAACCCGATGTCTCTCAGCGCGCCGACGAGGGTATGAAAGAGCTATCGAAAGTACTTCGGGTCAATAGGGGACTAGAAAGAATCGACATTGGCAGGGGGATGATGACCAATGAGGGGCGAAGATGTCTTCTAGAAAGTYTGCGGGACAATGTAACTCTTACGAAACTCGATACGAGAAAGTTACCCTTGCTCATTGATCCATTTGAAATTGAGGACAAATGTGAGCGTGAAGAAGGAGACGTGCTACAAGCTCAAATCAATCGTCACATGRAGTGGAATAAAATATATCAGAGATGCAATCAAAATAAGGAGAAGAGCATGTCACTTGACATCTATCCAACTTTGCTGGAGTCTCTAGCCAACAAACCATGTGCTCTATTCCTGTTCCTGCGAGATAAGAACCCTCAGCTATTTGATACGTGGTCTACCCGAGATAAGAACCCAAGGCCTAGACGCAGCATGCGGATATTGAAAAAGCGTCGCATTTCAAGAGACGCATCAGTGGCAACCACAACAGCCAGTACGCCATCGATACCTATCTTGCATCCACTGAAAAAATCATGACTTCTGCTACAACAAAATGATATATATGAAAGGAAACCTTTAGTAATTCCATTAGTGTACTTTTATTTTGATACCCAATCGATGGAAATCAATTTATCATACGTTACTTTCCTCAGAATGTTGTATGGTTCGATTTAACAACTCCGAAGCTTCCGTATAAATCATGGGATATCGATAGAATTTTCCATATTCTGCAAAGAAAACGAGACGGTCAAACAAAGAATACTTTAAAAGAGGCTCGATCGTTTCTGGATCAACTGAATAAAGAAGCCGTAGGATTTTCAACGAATATCCAGTGGCATCGGTGTTGCGATTCGTCTCAATATTCTCAATCAAGCTACGAATCATGTTGTTCCAAAGTGGATCGCGTAAAGCTTGTTGTTCTGTATCGTTTAATGATTTTGTTGTCGTCGTCGATGCAACCTTCCCCAGAGCGTTTGCAAKAACCCGGAGTGCATGATTGTGGAAAATACCGTTGGCCTTGCCTTGTGGATGTAGTGGTTGCCGTTCCGTGTCCTCCGAATCACTCGAAGTACAGCTGTGGTCATCGTCGTAATAACTGATGTGTTTCCCGTTGCCATCTATACCTGTTAGTGGGTCGTAGTCTAGAATCCAATCAAAGAGAGCATCCTTATCCTCGTCGAAATCAGTCACTCCTGTTGTGAGGTGTTTTTCTCTATGATCCTGGTGGGGAGAGTCACAGATCAAAGTGGCAAAAATATACCGCAATAGTTCTTCAATAGTGCCCAGTGGCCCACCAAATACGAGTACGTGGGATGCAACCTCCTCTGAATGATAAAGTCCTGAAAGCGTTCGCCCCTTTGTCAACAGCATCAACCGTTGTAGACCCACACGAATAAGATCGGGATCTTTGCTCGATAAGAGCTCTAAACACAAGTGGATGCTACTACCGGGTACATCGTCGTAGGTAGCGGTGCCAAGGTGACTCGCGTCGGGACCGAAGGTCTCGTTTGCATCGAKAGGACCGATGATGTTGTCGATGATATCGAATGATGACGATGACGAAGATGAAAACGACGATTCGTCATCTGTTGTGTCGATTTGGTCTTCATCCAGGGTATCACCTTTRTGGCCCATGTTTTTCGTTGTTGTTCGTAACTCTCGTGATCGTCGCGGTGGAAAGAGTTGGGAGAAAATCCCGATACGCTTCTGTCCTTCCATACCGACGATAGYTGTTGCTTCTGGATCGGCAATGAGTAGGTTATGTGTGTCATCTTTAGGAGGCATTGTTTTTCTTATGATTTTGTATTCCTGATCTTGTTTATTTGTGAGCGTTATCTTTAGTTGTGAATCGTGAGTCTCTCGTCACCTGTCCTCGGAAGCAATCCAAGAYGCTGGATGCAGGATTGGGCACCGTTTCTGCGAACCTCGCGTGACCAAAGCACGACTACTAATACTCGTAACGTGTCTCRGCATTGATCTTGCTCGTACGGTACGTTCTCGTACCTGTACTCCGTTTGATTTTGAACGCCTCCGCAAGTTGTCGCCSCTTTTGCTGCGCGCATTAGTCGCGCATTCTCAACAGGATTTTTTGAGATGCCATCCAACGGAAGCACTCAGTGACTGATGGAAACTTACATGAGCCATGAACCAGTTGGTTGAATACCATTCGCTCGCCCAAACAGAAAAAAGAAAAGCGAACTTTTAAAAATAGAWTCCACAACAGAGCGAGAGAGCATCTGGAGACCATCAATAATCCCTTTGCTCTCATCTTTACTGAATTTGCGGCTGAATCGAGATATTTCGGTGGTCAGAATCCAAAAATTGGAAACGTGCATGTTCTCATTTTGCTMTCTGCTAGCACCGAAAATCTTTTGTCCATTCTTGACGCAACTCCGCCTGTGGTCATAAAACAAGTAATTGTCAAAGAGTAACAGCCTACTCCACCGAATACACGAAATAGAAACAGAATATAAGCACCATAATGTCTTGCGATATYGGTTTGTATGGACTGGCCGTCATGGGCCAGAACTTTGCCCTGAACATGGCCGAGCACGGCTTCAAGGTTGCCGTTTGCAACAGATCTCCTTCAAAGGTCGACACCACCGTCGCCCGTGCCAAGGAAGAAGGTGATTTGCCTCTGGAAGGTCACAAGGACGTCAAGGACTTTGTCGCTGCTCTTTCGAAGCCCCGTAAAATCGTCATCTTGGTCATGGCCGGAAAGCCCGTCGACTCCACCATCTCCTTGTTGTCCGAGCACATGGAAGAGGGAGACGTTATCATTGATGGCGGTAACGAATGGTTTCCTAACTCCGTTCGTCGTGCCGAGGAACTCAAGCCGAAGGGAATCCACTTCATTGGAATGGGAATTTCTGGTGGAGAGGAAGGAGCCCGCAAGGGACCAAGTCTGATGCCCGGTGGACCCAAGGAGGCCTACGATCTCATCGAGCCCATCATTACCAAGTGTGCCGCTCAAGTTGACGGAGAAGCTTGCACCGGATACTGTGGACCTATTGGAGCTGGAAACTACGTGAAGATGGTTCACAACGGAATTGAATACGGTGACATGCAACTTATTGGCGAATGTTATGATATTCTGAAGGTAGGTCAAGTCAAATCATTGCTATCGAATGTTTTAAATTATGTTTGTACTGTGGACGTTCGTGGTATCGCACATAGTTGGTCTCAAATTTTAATTTGGATTCAAATTAATCTTTCATGGCGCAAAATGATGATTCCAGCATGTTGTCGGACTAAATAATGATGAAATGAGCAAATTGTTCGCGGATTGGAACACCACCGAGTTGGATTCCTACTTGATTGAAATCACCTCCATCATCCTCGCGAAGAAGGATGACCAAGGCGAAGAAGGTCATGTCGTCGACTACGTTCTCGACAAGACGGGAATGAAGGGAACCGGTCGCTGGACCGTCCAGGAAGCCGCTGAACAATCCGTTGCGGCTCCTACCATTGCCTCCGCATTGGACGCACGATACATTTCTGGACGCAAGCAGGAACGTGTCGCCGCCTCCAAAATCTTGGAGGGTCCTAGCGTCAACGAAGTTTCTGTCGACAAGAACCAGATCCTCGAGGATCTCAAGGCAGCCCTGTACTGCTCGAAGATTGCCTCGTACGCACAGGGATTGGCGTTGATCAAGGCCGCTTCTGACAAAAACGGATGGAACGTCGATTTGGGATTGTGCGCACGCATGTGGCGTGGTGGATGCATCATCCGCGCCAAGTTGCTCAAGGGAATCCAAGAAGCCGTTGGAAATAACGAAGACCTTGCCAACCTTATGGTCGATCCAGGGTTTGCCGCCGAACTCAACTCTCGCCAAATGGCATGGCGTCGTGTGGTCACCCTTGGTCTCGCCAATGGAATTGCCCTCCCTTCTACATCCGCATCGCTCTCGTACTATGACCAGTACCGCCGTGCCAATCTCCCAGCCAACCTGATCCAGTCCCAGCGTGACTTCTTCGGAGGACACACTTACGAACGCACTGATAGGCCTGGTGTATTCCACACTCTTTGGGATGACAGCCACAAGGACATTGGCGACCTTGGAGGCCGAACTGCGGGTGAAGTCTAAGTTGTGTCGATGGTTTTAGTTGTTTTGCCTTCGGGGAATAATATTAGTCAATCTCTTTCTACGTATTTCCATAGAACAACTCTATTGACGAAAAGAACAGTGCTACATGGTGCAATATCGCACAGCAAATGAGCGAGGACCAACTCCAATAGCAAACGAATTGTATCGTATTTACACAAATTCAGATGAATATGCAGCAGTCATGATGGTAAAAAAGCGAAGTTCCTTTTTCGCATTCGTTAAGTGATTAAATCGCACTAAGTGCGAGAAACGTGTACGATTCAGTGCCAATGTCTATTCGTGATCGTCAACGTGATCATTGGGGCAATAACTTGAAATTGGTCCCTTGTAGACCGCATTGCGTTCCTTGAGATGGAGGGCATTCGATATGCTGGGCAGCAGCTCTTCTTCGAAGTGATGCGTTATGTATATCAATGCCATGTTGGTAGAGCGACAGATTCCTTCCACTACTCGCAACATGCGCTCTCGGTGGATGAGATCCAGCCCTTGACATGGCTCATCCAGAACAAGAAGTGGTGGTCGAAGGGCCAGTGCAGCCGCAATCATAATCATTTTTTGTTCTCCTTGCGACAGTTGACGAAACGGTTGCTCCATCGACAGGAACGTTATCGGAAAATCGACACCACRTTTGCGGCTGTTCTCAAAGCCATGATGGTCAACAATGCCAAGCCAGTCAAGCACCGGAAGAATCGTATTTTCCCATGAAGCATTTCTTGACTTACTAATGAGGAAGTCTTTGATGGACATCGGATTGCCCAATGTCTCATCGTCGTTTAGATCTAGTTCTTGTTGCATGTGACTTTCTGTGGACACCCATCCAACAACAGCCCGCGAATCGTCTGGGTTGTAATTTGGCAATATTCGCAACGAAGATACGGKACTTCTTCCTCCGTGTAGCTGTTTCGGATCTTCCTCCTCGCAATTGTCGGTACTGTCCCGGTCCTTTTCGTTATCGAAAGTTGTTATTGGCGATAGGGCTAAAAGCCGGCTCAATGTAGACTTCCCGGCGCCATTTCCCCCGCCCACAATCCAACGCTCCCCCTTTCGCACAGTCCAAGACAAGGATTTCAACAAGGTGGCGTCACCTCTTCGAACGGTCAAGTCATTTGCCGCCACGAGGATATCTTCCTTGAYAGTTTGATTATCTGCAGTCACATCAATTGTTTTGCCGTCGCCTCGGCCTTGGTTGCTTTCACCAAATGTCCACCAGCATTGCACGCTTTGCCGATCTGGAAGTCTCGGGTCGTCTCCCCAATTTGACTCGGAGTTGGTCGCATTAACCACGGAAGGGAGCCACTCCAAGCCCATTGCTCGTTGCAAAACCTCCTTCCCTGACGTCCACCYACTTGAATCATCGTCATTTCCACGACTTCCGTCCCTGCTGTGACCAAGTCCCTCTCGGTCAATGTCATCGCTTCCTATGTTTCGGCGGCGGAGAATACTCAAKGAAAGTTCTGGATTGCAATTGCTATTGTTCTTTTTGTGTTCAGAGTCCCGATCCCACCACACGACCGTATCCATCTCCTGAATTTCGTCTAATTCTTCCGCTCGGTGTGTCATGAGCACCACCTGCGTGCTATCGGCCGTGTCCTTGGAGGACACTCCCTGCACCAATAAATCGTTCGTGAATCCCTTGAGTGTCTTGGAGATTATGTCTTGGAGAACCTTTCGAGAGGGTACATCTAAACCGTCAAAGGCATTGTCCAGCAGCAATAACCGTGGTTTTTGGGAAAGCGCCCGCACCAGCAGGACCTTCCGGATTTCCCCCGTCGACAGGGTATCAACTGTCCGGTGGAGCAATGGGTAGAGGCCGAAGCGGACCACTAGGAACCGGGCGGCGGGATTCAGCCGCCCGGGAGCATTTCCCCKCATGGCAATCGTCTTGAAGGCTGTAATGGGTGCCCCAGTGGTTGGGTCAGTTTCCTCAAGAAGCTTCCTGTGAGAATCAAACGAAACATGGGTAGCCAAAGCACTGGAGGTCGCCCTCGAGATTGGGCTACCGGCGCGTCCGCGGAGGTGGCGTTGTTCCAATGCGGCTGGTTTTCTCTTTGGGTTATCGTTGTCGTTGTCGTTGTCGTCTGCCAAACCGATGTGGATGCTTCCAGAGAGCACGTAAGGATTTCGATTGCTCCTTTCATCCTTCCTCTTTGCAGAAGAAATCTTTGCTTCTTCGAAAATAGCTTTCCCCAAGAGTGTTTTTCCAGAACCATTTCTGCCAACAATGGCAACACCACCCCTGCTTTCTTCATTATATTCTGCGCAGTAATTTTCTGTCGTATCAGGATTTCCAGTCGTTGCAACATTTGGAAGTGATATTGCGAAGTCGTCTACCAGTAGCTTTGAAGCAGAAAGAAGACGGGTTTTCATCGTGAAATTTGTATCACCATGTTTGGAATCTCTACCAGCGATATGATCGATCGGACTTCCGTGGTCGGTGAGGTTGTTGCTGGGATAGGCCAGCCGGGTACGAGTGAATTTCACCAACTCTGAACGAGATTTCAGGATGTTGGAATCTTGGCCATTTGAGGTACCAAGTGGCGATGAAATGGTTCKTTTTAACGTAGAACGAGGAAATASTCTTACWAACGACGATGGCAGGAGCMAAGACAGGGGATTTCTGAATGCAATTGCCGAATGAAGTCGTTTCTGCACCAGTGACGAGCAGTGGTATCTCGTCACCTGTCGCTGCAGATGTAAGATTGCGGTTTGCTGCCTTGTCATGTCATTTGTAGAATAATATTCATTGATTTTGATCGTTTGTTTCTATGATTCGTACTCGGTAGAAGTACATCATTTTTCTCGTCAGAAAAGGATCATATCTTTTCAATTGGCTACCGTACGTAACCTCTCGTATGGTACGCTACGGACTACGGACGTCCTCTGTATCAGTCGTCCTTGCAGAACTTTTTCCGAAC